CGTTGGTAATGATTGATCCAGCTACGACCAAAAGCTTGTATAAGGCTATCGAAAAGCTGAACCGGCCATTGGATCAAGTAGATCTTCTTATCCTTTGCAACAGCAACAAGGAGATCTTCGGAGAAAAGGGTGGGGACAAAAGGAGGAGTGTGCAGAAATTTTTTGGAAATATAAAGAGAAGAAGTGCCAGGACTTACGAACGAAAGCTGCTGGAATTTGGGATTCCTCCAAGCGATGCTACCAGAGCATGGATTGCACAAGAAGATCGAAACCCGTCGCCTGATTCTGCTACAACCACACTTGGCGAAGAAGTGTCAATGAATGGCGGAGATGGTGGTGGTGGTGACGACGTCTCCGAGATGACGAATATGTTTCAAAACAATTTCACAGTCAACTCTGCTCCCCAACAACACTCTCCTTATGCCGTCAACACCCCTCTCAAAAGAGAGTCGCCACCTTCATCGTCTCCAATTCAGCATTCGCCGTATACTAACAACTCTTTCCATTCCTCGCCACCACAGACCATGGTGAACAATCAACAAGGCAACCTCTTCACGCAGCCTGCTGCCACGGTTCCTCGAACACCACAGAAATCTACTGGTACCCCCATCACACAGGGTTCCCCAAACTTCTCGACCAGCTCGGCATTCTCTTCTCCTGAACAAGCTGCTGGTGTTTCGACTCAATTTGGCGGAGGTTTTGCAGGTCCACCGGCCCAGACACAGAACCATCACTTTGGCGGAGGTTTCGGGGGTGCTTCTACCCAGACGCAGAACCGTCACTATCATGAAGGATCCAGAGAGAACCCGGAGGTAATTTACATCAACCTGCAGCACCCAGAACGCAATGGCCGGTTCGACGTCAAGGTGAATTCAAAAAGGGTATGCAATGGTGTCGCTCGGCACTCACTTCACCTGCAATCTGGAACTGGACCCAAAAACGTTCCGGATTGGAGTGCAACTCTGGATAATTCAAATCCAGCCATGTTCGGCCGCGTCATTCTCGTTCAAGGTCCATCTCGAGATTCCTACTACAGCAGCGTGAAATCTGTACCTTCCCCAGATGGCTCCGACATCAATGATGCTCATGCCGAGGCGGACTACGAAATTGCTTCAGATCCCACTCGTAAAACAAAGTACTGGAGACTCATCCTTCCAGAAGGCTGGGAGCTTGACAACTTGGCTTTGTCTGACCACATGCTCAACATCAACAAGAAGTTCATCGTCACCACAGATGTTGTTGAAGGCTATGAATTCAATCAACTTCTCGTTCAGTGGGAGATCGCAAAGCGAGATGGAGCTCGCATTACTGCTCAGCACAAGAATGAAAACATCAGTCTTGGGTCTATCTTTGGCAAGAAGTAGTATAGGTAGAATAGGAATTAATTCGTTTAGTTTATGTCATCTGTTTCGATTTGTTGATTTTTCATTATTGTTCATCATTTTCTTTTATCTCTATGACTGTGAATCAGTGCGTTTGCCATGTAGATTGAAGAATCTCTATAGCCTGTTGTCATGTCAAGGATATCATTCCTCTTGGCAATTTCGACCAACACCTCCTTTTCAATTTTCATTATCATTTCATTGATGTCTTCATTGCTATCTACTGGGGAACAGAAAGCAGAAACGATTTTAGATAAAAAGACAATTTCTACTTTTAGATCTTACAAGGAGATGTGGTCATACCAGAGCCTCCGGTGCTCATAGAGTGGACAGAGTCGGAAGCAGATGAGTCGGCAGCAGATTCGGCTCCTTTAGAGACCTTGCGCTTCTTCATATTTGCTTTGTTGCGTGGCGCGAAGTTGCGGGTAGCCGCTTTTGCTCCTGTCAACTTGCTCTGCCAATCCACAGCATCAGCCATGGTAACAACCAACAACCCATTGATATCGTCGATGTGTTCTCCAGCGTTGCACTTTGCCAGCTTGCGTGTTACAGCCACCAAGTCCTTTTCAATGTCTGGGCAGTTCTCGATGACGAGGTCTGCGTAATTTCCAGCAGTGGTACTTGCCAAAATCTCTCTGAAAGAGCCCTTCGACACAACGCTGGACTTGAGACCTTTGCCTCTCGTCTGATCGACAATGACAGGGGCACTGGTTTCGTTGTCGCCATCCGTGCCCCAAGTCTTCGAAGCATCGCGCCATCCCGTGAGGCCAGCGTACTTGCCAGCCACAAATCGAATGGGGGTTCCCTTTTGAAATTCCATCTTGTCAAATTATGGTTGATGCGTCCCTCATGGTTTGTTGTCTTGTCAATAGCCGTATTTCCGTTTTGACAAGTTGTGATCTGCAGATAGACTTGGTCGCGGACTTGGTGGGACTTGATGCCCGAAGAAAAAGCCGTTGGATTGGAAAACAATAACATCTCGCCAAATAACATCAGTACAATTTGGCGAATCGCTCAAAAAGGGTGCACCTCCTCACCAAATTGCTCTGAAACCAACAATCAAACGTCACAAAACAATGAATTTATCTGTCGCAGCATCGCTTCTATTTGGCGCGGACGAGGTGCTGATCCGAGGGTTCGAAACGATTGCCGGTCTCCCCGCGATTACAGATGACGACTATACAGAACAAAACATCCGTATTTTTAAGGCTTTTTTTGGTCCAACCCCCAGCACTATCTGTTTTGTCTGGCAAGATATTCTGCAGTCGAAGAACGAAGAATTGGGGCTCCACCCATCAGATAAGAGCGAGAAGGGGTTCAAGCGATTGCTCATCGCACTCCACTTCCTTTGGGCGTATCCCAAAAATGCCATCATTCTCGCCAACACAACTGGGACAAGCGAAAGAATGGTCCAAGGCGAGTTTCTCTGGC